TTTTTGTACCGGGGATTGAACTCGGGCCCTTGTGCTTGCACAGCAGGCGGCCAAACCACTGAGCTAAATCCCCAGCCATATTTAGATATTTGATCCACTTTGATTTTAGTTTAGTGCATGGTGAAAAATATGGGTCTAGTTTTAATCTGTGGCAGATTGAAATTTAGTTTTTCTAGCACCATTTATTAAAGAGGCTGTCTTTCCTCCAGTGAGGGTGTTGGGCTCCTTTGTCAAAGATGAGGTGGCTGAGTGTGTCTGGAGTTGTGTCTGCATCTTTTAACCTACTCCACTGATCCTCAGGTCTGTTTCTTTGCCAGTACTGTGCTGTTTTTATCACAGTGGCTTTGTAGTATAGTTTCTTGTTGGGGATTGTGATACCCCTTGCCATGTCTCTGTTGCCTGGAATTGCTTTTGCTATTCTAGGTCTCTTCTGGTTCCAAATGAATTTTTGGATTGTTTTCTCTAGTTCTGTGAAATACACTATTGGGATTTCAGTCGGGATTGCATTGAATCTATATAGCAGTTTTGGAAATATGGCCATTTTTACTATATTGGTTCTTCCTACCCAGGAGCAAGGGATGTCTTTCCATTTTCTGATATCTCCTTCAATCTCCTTTTTCAGAGTGCTGTTATTTTCAAGGTAGAGGTCTTTTACTTCCTTTGTTAGACTGATTCCTAGATATTTCATTTTTTGGGATGCTGTTGTGAAAGGAATTGTTTCCCCAGTTTCTCTCTCAGTGAGTCTTTTATTTGTGTACAAGAAGGCAATTGATTTTTGAATGTTGACCTTGTATCCAGGTACTCTACTGAATCTGTCAATGAAGTCTAGAAGATTTTTAGCGAGTGTTTTGGGTCTTCTATGTAGAGTATCATGTCATCAGCAAATAATGACAGTTTAACTTCTTCCTTTTTTATGTTTATTCCTTTTATTTCTTTCTCTTGTCTAATTGCTATAGCTGATGTTTCCAGAACTATATTGAACAGGAGTGGTGATAGTGGACATCCTTGACTTGTTCCTGATTTTAGTGTGAAAGCTTTCAGTTGTTGAAACTATTCAAAAACCATCTATTCCAATTTTCTGTAGGGTTTTTATCATGAATGGGTGTTGGATTTTGTCGAACACTTTTTCTGCATCTATTGAGATGATCATGTGATTTTTGTCCTTGGCTCTGTTAATATAGTGTATTACATTTATTGATTTACTTGTGTTGAACCATCCTTGCATCCCTGGAATGGATCTCACTTGGTTAGGGTGTATGATCTTGATGACCCTCTGTATTCTGTTTGCCAGTATCTTATTGAGGATTTTTGTATGTTCATTAGGGAGATTGTCCTGTAGTTCTCTTTTTGGTTGGGTCTCTCTCTGTTTTTGGAATCAAAGTAATGCTTGCTTCCAGGAGTGAATTTGGGAGTAATGCTGCCTTTTCAATTTCATTAGAGTTTGAGAAGTAGTGGCACTTGCTCTTCCCTAAATTTCAGTGAAGTCATTAGGACCTGGGCTTTTCTTTGTTGGTAAATTTTTAATTACATTTTCAGTTTTACTGATTGAAATTGGGGTGTTTAGAATTTTTATATCTTCTTTGTTCAGCTTTGGTAATTCATATGTATCTAGGAATCTGTATTTCTTCTGTTTTCCATTTTATTGGAGTATAGGTTCTTGAAGTAGGTATTGATGAGCCTCTGGATTTCTGCTGGGTCTGTTGTGATTTCACCCTTTTCATTCCTAATTGCATGGATTTGAACCTATACTTTCCTTTCTTTGATAAGGTTGGCTAACAGTTTGTTGATTTTATTCTGTTGAAGAACCAACTCTTGGCTTCATTGATTTTTTTGTATTGTTCTCTTAGTGTCCATTGGATTGATTTCTGCTCTGATCTTTATAATTTCCTCCCTTGTATGAGCTTTGGGTTTGTCTTGCTCTTCTTTTTCTAGGAGCTTGAGGTTCAGCATTAGATTATTTGCGCTTGCTCTGTTTTCCTAGCATGGGCATTCACTGCTGTGAATTTCCCTCATAGAACTGCTTTCATTGTGTCCCATAGGTTCCTGTATGTTGTATTGGCATTATCATTTAATTGTAGAAACTGTCTAATTTCTTCTTTGATTTCCTCTGTGACCCATTGGTTATTCAGAAGTGTGTTGTTCAATTTCCATGTATTTATGAAATTTTTGTGGTTTCTTTTGCTATTGATTTCCAATATCATCGCACTATAATCTGATAATAAATAGAGGATAACTTCAGTTCCTTTGCATTTACTTAAACATGTTCTATGAGCTAGCATGTGTTCTATTTTGGAGAATGACCGGTGTACAGCTGAAAAGAATGTGTATTCTGACTTTGTTGGGTGGAAGACTCTGTAGACATCTAGTAAGTCTATTTGTTCAAAAGTTTGGTTCAGTTCTAGTATTTCGTTGTTCATTTTCTGTCTAGATGATCTGTCTATTTGTTTCAGTGGGGTATTGAGGTCCCCCCGCTACAATTGTATTAGTGTATTCACAGCTATGAACTTTCCTCTTAGGGCTGCTTTCATTGTGTCTCATAAGTTCTGGTATGTTGTACTGGCATTATCATTAATTGTAGGAATTGTCTTATTTCTCCCTTTATTTCTTCTGTAACCCATTGATTGTTCATGAGGGTATTGTTTAATTTCCATGCATTTGCATAGTTTCTTTTGCCTTTGATTTCTAGTTTTATTGTGCTATGCTCTGATAATATGGCTGGGATAATGTTGATTCTTTTGCACTTAAGCATGATTTATTGGCTAGTCTTTGATCTGTTTTGGAGAAAATTTCCTGTGCTGCTGAGAAGAGTATGTATTCTGTTGCGTTAAGTTCATTTGTTCGAAGGTTTTGTTTAGGTATGATACTTCTTTGTTGATTTTTTTGTCTGGTTGATCTGTCTATTTCTGACAGTGGGGTATTGAGGTCCCCCACCATAACTGAATTTATGTTTATCTTTTATTTCCAGTATTGTTTATTTTGTGAAGTTGGGTATGCTCTTGGTAGGTATGTTAGTAATTGTTATCTCTTCTTGTTGAATGGTCTATGAATTTTTTGGGGGGTTAAATGTGTTTCTTGTATACACCATACTGTTGGGTTTTGTTTCTCAATCCATTCTGCCAGTGTGTGTGTGTTGTTTTTTTTTGGTATTGGGGATCGAACTTAGGACCTTGCGCTTCCAAGGCAGGCGCAGGAACCACTGAGGTAAATCCCTAGCCCCTAGTCTGTGATTTTTGATTGGGGAATTGAGACCATTCAGTTGAGAATTATTACTGAAATGTGTTGACTTATTCCTGTCATTACATTATTTTCTTGTTTCTGATTCCCTTTCTTTTCGTTCTACTTAACTGTTAACCCTATATGTAGTCATTATATTAACGCTTTTGTCACTATTACTTTCATTGTCTCTTTCTAGGATATCCTTGAGAGTTTTTTGGAGTACTGGGTTGGTGGTCATACATTTTTTTAGGTGCTCTTTAACATGGAAATATTTTATTTCTCCATCAGCTTTCAAAGACAGTTTTGCAGGCTATATCAGTCTGGGCTGAAACTAGTTTTCTTTCAGGGGCTGAAATCTTAAGTCTGTTTTCTGTTATTTGACTAACTTTCATTATCCTTTTTTCAAAAAGACATGTGCATGCTTATTTTATTAAATAATTACAATAGCCGTACTCTTTGAGGACTTGTTTTACAATTTCTTTATCTTCTGATTATTTCTATTCATTTCATTGTGATTTTTGAGTTTTTTATTATAATCATTAGCCTTGACTAAGCTTCAATATTACTAGCAGTTCTCTTCTATTACATATCAGTTTTTATTTCCATTCATTTTAGTTGTTCTTTGAAATGTTCTTCATTCTTCATAAAGCTCTGCTCTTGAGTCATCTATCCTCTTAGCAAGAACAGAAGTATGTTCATTTATCTTATGTTCACATAACAAATGTTTATTGCACACCTGTTGTGGTCTGGAACTCTGTCACATGCTGAAGATAAATATATTTCTTCTCTGGGATGCTTGAAACCTGAGAAAAGGCAAATGTAGATAAAAATTATGGCTATTATTGATTTTGAGGAAGTCTAGTTGGTCAGAGACTGGAGCAGTGAGGGTGATATTACAGTGGAAGGACGATGGGGCAAGAACTTCATTTAGTACCAGCAGCTTCCCAGTAATTTTTAGAGGAGACGAGATCTGAAGAGGAAAAGGAATTAATCACTCCTCAAAGTAGTAGCTTAGAAACTATATGATGCATACGCCACAGGATGAAGTGTGCGAATCATGTATTATTTTATCAAATGTCAAACAAATCTAAATGTCTAAGCTGGAAAGTTTGAATGCATTTATCATGCCATATTCAATTTACAGGTACTTTTATTTGTAACTAACTTCACATTCTACATAATATTGAGAGAAAGGCATCTATAACAGAGGCTTAGCATTCATGTCTTTATTATCAAACTATCTACTGCAGTGTAGTTCCGTTAGAATATGTGTAAAGTTAGGGTGACTGTAAATTTTTCAGAATGAGCTTGAAGAGAAGGATTGGTAGAGGGAGGATGAGAAATGTGTATGATAAAGCTTTTCTAGCTTTTAATGTCTTGCAGAAGGACATTGAAAATTGACCTCCTTGGAATTAAGAGCTCTAGGTAGATTTATCTACTCATCTGCCTATCCACCTGCCCAAACCAACCACTGTTTATTAGGATCTACTTACCCTAGGCACCTGTCTGGATGCTGAGGTGGTAAAGATGAGTAAGACTTCTCTGGGAGTAATCAAAGAATGATAGTTCATTTTGAGCAACAGTGTTTTGGAAATTATGAGGCAAAAAATGACCATAGCTTTTTCATGGGAATTGTGTTAGAGATAATCAATTTGGAAAAGCCTTTAAGAATTATATGTGGGTGGCAGCAAGTTTTGAAAAATTATATTTGAACATAAAAGGATAATTATACTTTAGGAATTTTATATTCCCTTTTGTTTATTAGTTTTGACCTTACAATTTGAGTAGAAATATTCATGACAATGCTGTGTGCACATTTTATTTGATTTTAAGAACTAGCTTATGTGATTGTTTACATTTTTACATATTGACAAGTCATGACTTTTTTTAAATGACATTTTATTTGTGAATCACATTTCAGAGTTCTAATATGTATATCCCAAGCCAAATTAGGTTAAAAAAATGATTTTAGTATTCTCCACTCATCAAAGAGTTGGATTATCTGTAGAATATAGGATGTTTTTATTACAGTATTACTGATAATACCTTATATTAGTTTTCTCCAATGTACACAACACTTCAGGATTCATTCATTTGATTTTTGTAACAGCCTGATCAGGTAGAGTAAGAGTTCTTCTGCTTTTAAATGAGAAAAAAGTGATGGAAAGATTGTGATATAATCTATGTCTTAGGACAGTAATGGTAATCTATTACCATTCTTGCTATTTCTTTACCTGTCTATGTTTTTATTTTGTAGATGAAAATAAAATGTTAACTGCAAGGTCAGGTTGTACAATAGAAGATCGTGTGATTGCGGGAAATGTAGAAGAATTTCGTAAAGATTTCATTTCCAGAGTCTGGCTGACCTACAGGGAGGAATTTCCTCCAATAGAAGGCTCAGCGTGGACGACCGACTGCGGCTGGGGCTGTACGCTGAGGTCGGGCCAGATGCTGCTGGCCCAAGGGCTCATGCTCCACTTTCTTGGTAGAGGTATATCGGATTCCTGGGGTTATTTTCTGTTTCTTTCTTGTGCTTATTTAATTTGAACTTCAGCTTGCATACTGTATAAAATTCTGTCAGGTTAATTTCTTGACTCCTTGATGTTTTTTGAAAATGTGACTAATCTAGCATTTTATATTTTTATTGAACTGGGCCATAAAAGTCTGTGTGTAAATTTTTATGATTGTCTTTTCAAAACAATAGGGTAGTTTGTTATTCTTGTTACCAAGTGAATTATGTTAGTTTAGCTTTTAGTAGCCTTTTTATTTTTGTGTTACTTCTTTCTCTTTTGGTTGAACTCCTTGGAGTATCTTTCCTGGGCAGTTCAACATCTGTGACTCTGAAAATAAGTACTTTTTAAATCTTAAAGAGTTTTTATTCTGGTTTATCTATTTTCTCTGTGTATCAATAATACTTTAAAATTTTCATTTTCATAACAATGACTGTCATCTGTTATATTAAACTGATTAAACATGTTCTTAATAAGGCCATCATGCTTATTGGTTAAAGCCTCAAAAATGTCATTGATACTTGCATATATGTTTTCTTTTCCTAATGTGCCACTTTCCTGTTGGTCCATTTTTATAATGTATACATTTGTAAGAGGAATTTAATTTACCCTTTTGGGCTATTGTCTCTGCTTGTTAATAAATATTAATCAGAATTTTAAAGTGTTAGTATCTTCCCACTCCATGACAGGTGTTTAGTAGCCCTTCTGTAGATATCATTAATGAGATTACTTAGAATGTTTATTCAGGAGTGGTATGAATAATGCAGGGAAAGGGTTTTTAAAGTGGTTTTGTGGGTTGATTTACTTGTGGTCTTGGGCAATCATGGGGAAGAATGGGAATATTTATAATAGTACTGATAAGGCCTCCTAATCTTTCTCACTAACTTACCAGTGAAGTAGTGGGTATCTTGCACTTTTTAATCTTTGGAAATTCGTTTAACTTTTTATTTACTAGAGAATTTCTATTACTCTCTAAAAAGGATTAAGTTATTCTGAAGGAATGTTATGGAAAAGTATTTTGAAATCAATTTAAAATTGCTGTAGTCAGACTTCTTTTAATGTGTAATCCAACAACCTGCTTTGTGGCTGTGTTCACTCCTGAGTGCTTTATGTGTGACTGGTGCTGACAAGCAGTGTGATAATGGAGACAGAAGTCTTTATCCTCTGAGCAAGGTCTTTAGAGAAGAAAGAAAAACACCACAAAGTTTACCACTTGTACCTGTTTTTAATTTTTTCTTTCTTTTGTCTTTAATTTTTGTGTTTTCCTGATTGTGTATAATATGTTCCAGTTTTAGAAATTTTGCAAACTACAGAACAGTTCTGAGAATAACATGACCATTCAGATTTGAATGTCCTGAGTGCAGCTAAATTGTCTGTTTATACCTTAATTTTTAAAAGCAGCTTTATTAGGGTATAACCTCCGTAGCATAAAGTCACACATCACAGTGCTGAGGAACCAGCTCAGGGCCCCACACATGGCAGACAAGTCCTCTGCCACTGAGATACATCCCCAGCCCTAAGTGTATTTACAGAGTTCCATCACCGTAATTTATTTATTTATTCTTATTGTTTTTTGGTTTAGTATGGGAGAATTGAACCCAGGGCCTTGGGATTGAGCTATACCCCCAACTGCCTCCTTTTAAAATAATGATTACAGTTATTATTATTATTATTACTATTATTATTATTATTATTATTTTGAGACAGGGCTAAGTTGTCCAGGCTGGGCTCAAACTTGAGATCGTCCTGCCTCAGCCTCTCAGAGTGCTGGGATCACAGGTGTCCAACACCATGCCCAGCTTCCATAATTTAATTTTAGAACATTTTTATCCTCTCCCAGAGAAACATAAGAAACCATTCCCAGTGTCTCAATTAGCAGCTGTTAATCTGCTGTATGTATATTTACCTGTTCCTCAGTTTCCTGCTTTAATTTAGCAGTAACCCATATGACTTTTAAGTGCTATACTTATTTTAGGAGAATTGTTAAAACCTGTCTGTTTAAAGGATCTTAATACTTTGTTTTGGAACTGTTATAGCTTGGACCTGGCCTGATGCACTAAATATTGAAAATTCAGACTCCGAGTCATGGACTTCGCACACTGTAAAAAAGTTTACTGCATCCTTCGAAGCGTCACTTTCAGGAGAAAGAGAACTAAAAACTCCAACCACTTCTCTGAAGGAAACAATTGGGAAATATTCTGATGACTGTGAAGTGCAAAATGAGATTTATCACAGGAAAATCATCTCTTGGTTTGGCGATTCCCCATTGGCTCTCTTTGGCTTGCATCAACTAATAGAACATGGAAAGAAGTCTGGGAAAAAGGCTGGAGACTGGTATGGACCAGCGGTAGTTGCTCACATTTTAAGGTAAAATTGTTTTAATATCTCATGCTGTGAGGGTGTGGAGATACTGATTTCTGCAGTGTGTATGTGTAACTGAAAGGTAAAGTCTAACTAAGAATGTCCACAAGGGCACTTTCATTTGCTAATAGGGAAAAGCAAGGTGCACTGTGGCTCTAGCCACATTTATCTACTGACAGAGTTTTCTTCTCTTGCTCATGGGTGTAGCCATCCAGAGTTTCCTTCTAGCCAGGCTTTCATTGGACCACCTTATTGAAATGTTCCAAAACTAACATCTCTTTCAACCTTGGAATGTGCACAATGTTACAGATTTTTTTTTTTGATAATGTAACCTGGGGGCTGTAATGTACTGATAGTATAATGAAATGTCAAGAGCTAAAATTGATGTTTTCAGCACATCAAATTCTTGTGAATTGTAAATGTATGGAACATGGGACTATTAATATTATAATTATATCAGTAAGAGTGAATGGTCTGTGACATTCAGGTAGTTAGAAAAAAGTGGAAAGTCAAATTTTACTAACACTTTTACATGCCATTTATTTAGATATCACCCAAGTTTTAAAAATATATATATATTATTTGTTGACTGTCCATTATTATGAATGAATTCATCAGTATGTGATCTAAGTGTGGTAGTTATGGTAAATTTACTCCTCTTATAATCATATCCATTTGAAGTTATTACACAGCATTTTTGCCTATTGGCATGCTTTGATATTTTGTATGGCCAGATGCTTACAATGGGAAAAGTACCTGATGTTATTAATTGGCTTGTTAGTAATAATATTAGTCCCAGCTTACATGATATTTGTAAAAGCATAATCATAGATGCATAGTTTGAACCCTTCCAGGGCTCAGAAAACTTTCTGCAAATGGGCAAATGGTAAATCTTTTAGACTTGCAAGCCTTGTAAGGTTTCTACTGTCCATTTTTCTTTTTTCCTTTTAGCCTTTAAAACTGTCAAAGGCATTCTTAGCTTGCACAGATTATGTACAAAAATGGGCCACAGATTGTATTTGGCCTGTGGGCCGTAATTTGCCAATGCCTCTTCCATACTAACACTTAGCACATTCATATAGAGCATTTTAAATTAAAGAACTATAAGGATGCAGTTAAATAAAAATATTTGTATTTCTTCAGGTGCATAATTTTCTTTGATAGACATGATATTTTCACAGCATTTGTACCATTGAGCATTATACTCACTTAGAAATATTTTTCATTTTGCAGTTTAACTTACAGAATTCGAAGATTTGAAATTAGGAAGTGTATTTGTTCAGGTCTTCCAGGTGGTTTTTTTGTTTTGTTTTGTGTTTTTGCGATACTGAGTATCAAACCCAGAGTCTCACATATGCTAAGCAAGTACTCTACCACTGAGCTACACCCCTAACCCCTCATATAGGTTTTTGAACAAAGGAAAAAAAGTCAGGCTATTGCTTGAAGAAAAGAAAACTTTCGTAAATGTATCAGAGGATAAACAGTAATTCATTCCTGATCAGTAATGTAAGTTAATGTAAGGCAAACCTCAGAGCATATTGTAAAACCACAGGTTAGAAAACACTCACTGTCGCCAGATGAGTGGTTAGTAGAGATTCTTGGGGTGGGTGGGTGGTACTGATTTATACCCCAGACTTTTAAAATGCATTTTGCAACTTGCATTTTAATGTTCTTTTATTAATTTAGTGCAATATTTGACTATGAGAGACTTACCCTGATTTCTGATCCATTCAGATGATGGTTTTGGCAGCAGACACATAGGTTCAGTAGGAAGTCAAAAAGTGATGACTTTGTTTCCTTTTGAAACTAAATCTTTAGCTACCAACTGGAAATGTTAGCATTTTAATTTTTTTGGTACCGGGGATTGAATTCAGGACCTTGTGCTTGGGAGGCAGGCGCCAGAACCACTGAGCTAAATCCCTGGCCCAGTGTTAGCATTTTAAAGGCAGATCTTTATTATTTTCCTAGAAAAGCAGTTGAAGAAGCAAGACACCCTGATTTACAAGGAATAACTGTTTATGTTGCACAAGATTGTACAGGTAAGAGAGGTCTATAATTCTGATTTTTATCTGTTTATTTGGTCAGAATTTCCTGAGTGTTCAGTCATGGTGTCTTGTCAATGATTATGCAGGTAGAGACCACATCTTACACACTTTTGGTGTCCACCCAGCATCCTAGATATAGCATGTGCTTATTAGACATTTTTATTGAATACATACTGTGAATTATTGATTATAATGTTACGATAAATTCTCCAAGTAAATGCCAGCATTTAAAATGACTACATCAAAAGGAGTAGATGGAGAAGTTAGCATGAGTTTTACTGGGCCTGCATGTGTGCCAGGCGCCGTCGCATTGGTGGTTGTGCTCAAGGACGGAAAGTCGGAGTTGGTCTTAGGAGGAGCTGTCTCCCACCACTGCTTCAGTGAGTCCTCTGGTGAGGAGGCAGCTGTCATCCCGGTTTGCGCTGCTTCAGCTTTCCCAGGTGATCAGCGTCAGTAGTAACTTAGAAACTTTGTTGAGGATAAAAGAGACCATGACTTCCTAAGAGAATAAGCTACCTCGTGATGTTAGGTTTTTTACAGAACGGCTACTAAGAAGATTAAATAGATTACTGTTTTAGGAAAAACTGAAAATACTGGAGTCATATTTAATATGAGGTTGTCTACAAAATATTTAAGGTTATCCTGACAACCAGCTAGTGTTTGTAGTATGGAAGGTACAGTTACCAAATACATATACACTTTTTTCTTTGGCTTTTTGTTGAGATTAACTTCCTTTTAAAGAAAAACTGATAACCGTATAAAAATGAAAGTCATGAATTTTCAGATACAATATATAAGTTTTGTAGATACTGTGTTTATTTCTCCAATAGAAGATCTTGCAAATAAAATCTGCTGTGTAAAACTTCTAATTAACACTAAGGATATGCTTAAACAACTAATTAAATAATTTATGAATTCGCTTTTTGTGCTTTTATTTTTATTGATCAGCCTTCATCTTTATTACACATACTTAATTAAATTGAAAATGCAGAGTTCCTCATTTATAAGTGGTTTGTGTGATTTTAAATAGGTCTTAAAGTTTTTACTATTCATGTTTAACAATCCTAAATGGAGAATTAATATTAGTATAGTTTTATTAGACTGTGGAATTAGGAACTAGACAAAGCAAGAGTCCATCAATGATTTTTTTCCCCCTTTCTTGTTTTTAAAAGTTTCATTTTCTCTTTATTTTCTTTCTTTGTAATGGATATCTTTCGATGGCTTTCAATACTCAGGACTATGCATCATACACTAAGATTTTTAAAACGACCTCTGTAGTCCCACTTGAGGACTAGAGGACTAGTCCCACTGTGAAGTGATTTGTGGTTTTGTTGCCCTTTAACTGTTTGCGCCTAGATGCTTCCTAACCCCCCGGACGGCATGTGTGAAGATGGATTTCCCTGTCCTGCCCCTCTTCACTTCCTGCCTTCTCAGGACTCCATCCACACACCCTCTGGAGGCAGAGCCCCTCCTTCCGACTGCATCTCATGCTCTGGTCCCGCCGTCCCCAGGAGCTTACTGTGCTTGTGCAGTGGTCCCTGGAATCTGTTCTCCCCTCGCTCTCTGCTTTAGATCACACCTTTATCTGTAACTCAGACCTTGATTTTCTTATCTTTTTATTTCATTTGATTTTTAATAATTTTTTCCTTTTGATTCAGCTGATCAAAAGATGCTGAAGGGCTGGGGATTTAGCTCAGTGGTTCTGCCGCCTGCCTCGAAAGCTCAAGGACCCGAGTTCTATCCCTGGTACCAAAAAAAAAGATGCTGATGATGTCCTTCTTTTGTTTAAAAACCTGAAACTGCCCATTAGTTCTGGCCTCAGGTTCTCTTAGCATATAAAGTGCATGAGGTTCTGTAAAGTTTGTCCCAGCCTACATTTCCAGCACCATCTCCCTACCCTGTCTTCCACAAGTACATTAACGACAGTCAACCTCGGTCCATGCCTTGGAAACGCTGTTATTGTCTTTTATTTCCATGTCTTCATGTGTGTTATTGTGCCTACTGGGAATGCCTCTTATTATTACCAAGCCTCTTGCGAATTTTTACTTGTTCTTCAAGAGCACTTTCAACTTTCATAGGGCAGAATTAGTTTATTTTTTCCCTTTGCTCTGTAAGTTTCTGGAAGTAGTTCTATTAGATATTATACTTGGAATTCACTTGTGATATCACCGTATAATTATCTGTGTCTCTTTGTACATCACTGAGGGCTGAAGTAGAAGGGGTGGAGGAAAGGTGTCAGGGTCCTTTAGTTGAGAGTCGCTGCTATAATGCCTTTCTGTAGCAGAGTTGGACTAGGTCACAGCCCTTACATGTGTGTGGGTGGAAAAGCACCAAGGCGTCAAGCTAGAGGATCGTGCGAGTGCAGCACACGTCAGTGCAGTGGGCCTCGGTGTGTACGAGTGAAGCTGAGGGTTAGGGGCATAGAAAAGGCAGAGGCAGCGACATTGCTGTAGCTCTGGACAGACTAGGGGAGACCAGGAAGCTGGCGTGCAGAGCTTGATAGCACATCTCAATTTGGAATTTCAGGGAAAGAAATGGGACAAAAGTAGCAGAATTTGTTAATTACTTTATTTGGGAAAAGTAGAAGAGTTTGGTTAGGCCGGGGATTTAGCTCAGTGTTTCCAGCACCTGCCTCACAAGCGCAAGGTCCCGAGTTCGATCCCCAGTACAAAAAAAAAAAAAGAGTTTGGTTAGATTAAAAGGGGGTGTGAACGTAAAAAGTTTTTTTTGTTTGTTTGTTTTTTGGTACTGGGGATCCAATTCAGGTCCTTCCGCTTGCGGAGCAGGTGGCAAAACCACTGAGCTAAATCCCTGGCCCTTAAAACAAGTTTTGAATAAAATTAATTTATCATATATGAAATTTTGCCTATTTTTGTTTGTAACTATTCCACTTTGGCTGTCTCACCCACCCTCCTCATAGCAATAATTTCACCTTGCCGAACCCCAGATCCCTTCTCCTTCCTCAGATCACGCAGAGTCAGCAGCCTGTGATGCACTGACCACTTCTCCTCCTCAGAGCGTGGTGTTGACTCGGTTTCCAGCTCTGCAGGCTTTCCTTGCACTTCTTTCTCTACTCCTTTAGGCCCCTTTACTGGTTTTTCCTCATCTCCTGGGTCTCTAAACATATGGAAGTTTTAGCCTTCAGACTTCGTGTCATTTTCTGTCTGCACTGATTTGAATTCACCCAGTATCGAGGCTTTGCCGTGCCCTCCATTTGCAGGCAAGACCCCAGAGTACAGGTCCATCCTAGTCCTCGCCCCAACTCACGCCCTTGTGTCCCTAAACTGCCTGCTCACTCTGTTCTTGTGTGTCTGGTTGGTGTCTCAGACTGGATGTGTCTGCAGCTGAATTCCGATTCTCCTTCTTGAGTTTCCCTCCTCCAGACTTCTTTGTGAATGGCAGCCTTCTTACTCTGCTTGCTTGTGTCCGACTATGCAAGTCACATTTACAGTCAGTCCTTGTGTCCGAGTGTGTGCAGTGATCATCTGTACCACCTCCACCTGACCATCACTGCACCATATCCTGTTTCCATAACCACTGCCATTGTTCAGGAGCTGTCTTGGCTCCCTGGAAAACTAGTGGCTTTCTGACTCCTCTATACTCCAGCCCTTGCCCCTCCAGTTTGTTATCCACCAGGAGTTGGGCTGTTAGAGCATGAAAAAGATCGTGACATTCTTTTCCTAGAAACGCACTCGGACACTGAAGCCTTGCAGTGTCTTTCTGGAAGCCCCGGTCTGACCTCTCCTCTTTCCCGGAACTTCATCTCCTACTGCCCTTGCTCCCCTTGCTCCTTCCTCTTATTCTTAGGACCTGCCAGGGGGTGTTTGTCCTGGCTGACTGCTCTACTTGGAATACTCCCCACCACGTGTCTTTATTGACTTTCTTTAGTCCTGACTCAGTGTCGTGCAGTCCTTACTGATTCCCTTATTAAACGGCCTCTCCCCTCAGCATTTTCCATCTGCCTTTTTCTTTGGCCCTCCTCAGGGCACCTGCCACCACCTGACATTTTTTACATTTTACCTCGTAGTCTATTCCCCCCACCCCCCCACCCCCCCGTTAGAGATCTGCTCAATTAGGGCAGGGGCTTTTCTCTCTTTGGCCCACTGCTGAAGCTCCAGTGTCCTGTAATGACTGCCCAGTAAGTAAAAACTGAATCCATCAACGAGGCAGGTGTTTCTGTGTTGCTGGGACTTTGATGGTGATATCAGAATCAAATGGTTGGCCAGTGGAGAAGGGTGGGATTAGGGTAAAAATACTTCTGAAAATCACTTTTATAAAGTTTAATACATATTTATTATGTTTTCCTCAGTTTACAGTTCAGATGTGATTGATAAACAGAGTGCTTCCATGAGCTCTGGTCACGCAGACAGCAAAGCTGTTATTGTTCTAGTTCCTGTTAGGCTTGGAGGAGAGAAAACCAACACCGACTACTTGGAGTTCGTGAAGGTATGAGATGAGTGCTCAGCTTTAAAGTGTTACTAGCTAATAAGAAAACACAGAAGACTTGCAGCCTGTTTTCTATGAAAAGGGCAGTGATGATTTTACAGTGACATTGTAAAGTGTGACATTAGAGATAGTAGATTCCAGTATTGTAAGATTGGATGTGAGTGTGTGTGTGTGTGTGTGTACTGGTGTGTGGAGAGCAGTGTTCTATGACAAAATGAAAAATTTGTGTCTTTCTAGGTAATCAAGGAGACAGATTTAACAATAATCAAAACCTTTAATGTGGCTACAATTCCGTATTCTTTTGTGACTTAAAAATATATCCATTACCTTAATGTATTCTTAAAATCACCATTAAGTTGTATCATTGAAACAACCTGACTTTTCAATGACTCTGTATTAGGTCGTAATTTGTTTCCTGTGCCAGAATGAGGTCAATGAGAAGTTAGATCATTTATATCATTTATACAGATAGAAAGCATAGGAGCGGGCTTCAGCTTTGTTCTCTTCATAGCCAGTTAAGAATGTTCTATTTCAGAGCATAATTCTGTTTCTTGCACCAAAAAACCTGTCTAGTTACATTTTCATGTTTTAGCCCAAGACATTCAGATGTGACAAGATGACCTTTGAGATGCTTAGTTTCTGACTGCGATTATAGTTTTTATATTATTTTCACAGTTTTAATACAGCTCCTCATATTTCAAGAGTCTCCTTTCCAGGACAGAGACAGAATTCTTCTTTGAATGGAGTCTTAAGGGACATAGTGACATTGAAATAGTCTAGACCTATCTTCTGCTCTTCCGTCACGGTTTGTTCCTTCTGTGGAGCAGTAATCCCAGCCTTGGTTCCCGTGTGTTGGTTGTATATAGGTGCAGCAGATACATAGGTTGGTACCAGCTCAAAAAATGTAGAGATGTTGCTTTCAACACATGATACATGGATTCTTCTCGCTGGTGAATTGGATTTTTTTTTTTTTTTTTTTTGGTACTGGGGCTCGAACTCGGGTCCTTGCGCTTGTGCAGCAGGTGGTGAAACCACTGAGCTAAATCCCCGGCCTGGAGTTTCTTAATAGTTAGAAGCACACTTGTTGCCAGCAGTAATAGTACGTAACATGGAGCACCTGTGACTCCCTCAGGGATAGGTTTGATGTCTGACACATGGGCTCTTGAGAAGAGTGGAAGCTTCTAACCCCCTCATCTGGCGAGTCTGTTGAGGCTTTGGGGCTGCTGGCATGTTGTCACCTCTGGGCGGATTCTAACCAAATCTGTGTTTGCTGTGCCATTGCTCCTTGAGAATGACCTTGAGAGATGTAGTTTCTGATGTCATCATTAGCAACTGATGTCATTGAGGCTGACTCCTGTGGCCCGAGCTGCAGACGGCTCACGGAGGGCCTTGCTATGGGCAACGCCATAGCACCGTCAGGGGCCTCCCGTTGCTCGTGAGTGGTTCCTTGGATCCTGAGATGTAGTGAGCAAGCCGGGGTCAGCTGCTCAAGTGACCTTTTGTGCCTAGCATGCAGGAATTACACGGTCGGTATCTGTCAGGTCCCATCTGCATAACACTTTCCATATACACATGTCCCATTTTGTCCTCAGACAGCTAGGACCGGGTTGTCTTTAGAAAATAGAGAAGACAGAAGTTAAGTGGTATGTTCAGTTCAGACAACAAACCATTCACCAAGCCAAGAACTTTGACTATCAATTCGTTATTTTTCAAATTTTCCCCTAAAATAAAAAATGTTTGAAGTATAACATTTCCTTGAACATTTACTGATTTGATTTACATTGTAGTTCACCAAAATGAGAGCGCGGGATGATTGAGACATTGTCAATTTTCAGTTATCCGGTAAAGATGCCTGAAATGGGTGAGCAAAGTAGATCATATGGTGGGTGTTCCCCTCAGCCAGAGGAGCTAGTTGGTCAATGGCCAGAAAGGGGGCTGATGAAGAGACACTCTTCGAGGTGACAGCACGCGTCTGAGAGCCTGAAAGAAAGATAATCATCGTTTTTCTTTCTCTTGTTCTTCCTCCTCCTCCTCCTCCTTTTTCTTTGTGTGGACAGTAGTTGTATTTTATCCTATACATTTCATACACATGTTGAAATCTAAAATTCACCACTCAGTTCTGTTTTTCAAATTTATTAAAGTAATTCCATAGAATTTCAGAGATGGCACCATTCCAGCATCCTGCCACGTTTGTGCGGAGAAGGGAACTTGGCGCATGCTTCGTCAGCCCTTACTACATACAATAGGTTTATTTATTTATATATTTTTAAGAACCCGGGATGAGGAAAACCCAATATGTTTTCTTCAGCAAGACAAATTAGTACTTTCCTTTTTGACTGATTGCTTCAGTCTTATTTATTGCTTCATGGGTACAGCTCAATAAATTCTTGCCCTGAGATGACTGTGAAGAAGCTCTTTTAGGAACTGAAAAGTGTTTCAAGTTTCCAGTGATACAGCTCTTATGTGTAATGGCATTCCTGCTCCTAATCTGCCAAGTGTTTATTGCTAAATCTGTTCTCGTCTGTGGCAAAGGAAATACAGACATCAAAAGCCAGAGTCTTGCCTCCATTACTTGGACTCATTCTTTTTCTGAGGAGAGTCAGTGATGATTCTTGTGTTCTATTTCTTTCTTTTCTCAGCTTTGAGAGACTTAGGACGTACACCTCTTCATGCGTCCCAAGCACATAAACATCTCATTTTAGCTGGTCCCATAGCTTCAAGTAAGGAACTATCAGTTGTGTTAAGGATTTTTGTTTGGGGGGACAGCAATAGAATCCTTAATGCTAAATGGTTTGATTACTATTAAATGTTTGTTTTTGGGGTATAACTTTTATCTTTATATTTTAGTTAGCTAAATCAGGTAAGCTATTGTTTGCTAAGATTTTAATCTAAGATACCTATTTGGTTTTATTTCATGTTTTTCAGTTGCAGTTCTTCTTTCCAAAAAATATCTCTGATGTTGTTATGAGACTGAAATATATGAAGTTGTCAGGATGGTTCCGTCTATTTTGGGCTGCTGTAACAGAGTACCTGAGACGAGATAATTTATAAAGAGCAGAACATTATTCTCTCACAGATCTGGAGAGTGGGGAGCCCAGGATAAAGCGCTGGCCTCTGAGTGTCGTCTTACCTTGTCCTTTTCTTAGCAGCATCTGTGCTGGCAGCCCTGTCACCCCCGCTCCTCCCCAGAGGGTCCCCCTCAGTGCTCTCGCACTGGGGAATCCGTTCCCCATTCCCACGGATTTGGAGGGGACAGAAACACTCAGGCCATAGGAGAGGGTTATTTTAACCTTGAGAACCTACAGCAACATAAATAACTACAATAGGGGCTTAAAAGCGTTTTTGTTATCTTAATAAAATAGGATATTTTGTGGCCCTTAAATATTATCATTCATGTCTATTTATTGATATGAAAGGATGTTCACGACAGGAATGACAAAAGATTCTAATAGCCTGTGCTGCCTGATGCCCCATGTAAAAAATTCTATGTCAGTCTGTGTGTGGGTCCAGGTAGCAAGGAGATATCGCCCAGACGTTAATAATGGTGAGCTGTGGGCATTGGGATTTTGGGAAATGTTTACCTTTTTCTGTTTTCTGTGTGCTTTTTACCATGACCACATGTTATTGTTCAGAAAACAATTAAGTTAAAAAAGAAAACCTCTATGGTTTGGTTATTTGCTGACAGAAAAAGAACGTATCCTATATGAGATGCTCCTCAGCACACATTGTGGTTACATCCTAATAGGCTGTCGTGCGTTGAAAACTCTCAGGTTAAAAACTACGTTTCCTGCACCTCGCCTACTGTTCACTATAGCCCAACAGTGCACATAGAGGGTCAGTGGTTTTCCCTGGGAGCCCTGCTGGCTGGAAGCTACAATGATGCCACTGCCCAGCCTTGGGAACTAGAGGTCAAACTATAGCTGCCAGCCTGGGAAGGACCAGAATCCAGAATTCAGTGTGGGCTTTCATGAATGGGGACAGTTTCTGCACTGTTGTTGCTGAGAAATTGTAAGCTGGACCACTGCAAGTCAGCAGCCTTGGTATTCCTCACTTTTATAACCTCTAGGCTTTGGAACATGGTAAGTAAGAGAAGGGAAGTTTAGCTGCTCAATACTGTTGGAGTTTTACAATATGATTATTAGTGTTGTATATCAAAATTAATGCAAGAACTATTGATAAGACATTGACTCCTTTGGACACCTTTAATTGACTCCACTGGAAATGTTTTTTTTTAAAGTATAGTTATTTGGCCCAACTTATGGAATTTGCTTAGAGTAGCATATTTAGTATGGAGAGGGGCATACTAAACACTTTATTGAGGTTTCCCTAGTATTTTTGATTAGTAAAATAAATTAGCTTTAGATACAATAATAATTATTTTTCCTTGGATTAAGTTGTTTTAATTACTCATTATGTTTATTCCAAATGAAGCAGGACAAATATTTTATCAAGTGAAGTCCTTTGATGAGAAAAAAAAGCCTGATGAAAATATTACATTAGTCCTAATAAGTAAGGCTGTACCCGCTAACTGAAAGGCCAAGTGTTTTGACTTTGGCAGGAATTTTATTTCCTCTGCTTGGAGACATATAATATAGTGCACGTCAAAAAATTATGTATTTATTTATTCATTCATTCATTCATTCATTCAATCTGGTACTGCGGCATGAACCCAGGGCCTTCACATTGAGATATATCTCCAGTCCTTTTTAATTTTTAAAATTTTGAGACAGGGTGCTGAGTCACTAAGTTGCCAAGGCTGGGCTCTAACTTGCGGTCCTCCAGCCTCACCCTCCCAGAGTGCTGGGTTACAACTGTTCATGCTAGCTGCAAAAATATGGACTCTTAAAACAAAAAAATATGTGCTCAGCATCTCACACCCATAGACAGATTAAAACGGTTAATTGAACACTATTCTAGATAATTTCTTGATATGCACTAATGCATTTTTGAAATAAAAAGTTGGCAAGGCCATTATATATGTTTTGTACCTTGCTATTTCGCTAGGTGGAGTATTTTTTTCACCTCAATAAATTAATGTCAACATCATGATCTCTTCATTATATAATTAATAACTTTTTCCCATTTCGAGTAAGGTGGAATCTTACTGTAGTTTTGATTTGCATTTTTCACATGGCCATATACTTTCTTTGAGAAGCGGCTGATCATTTGCCCATTTATTGATTGGGCTATTTCATATTTTGATGTTAATTTTTTTGGTTCTTTATATATTCTAGATATTAATCCTCTTTCAGAAGAGTAGCTGGCAGAGATTTTCTCTTCTTCTGTAGGTTGTCTTTTCCTTTTGTTGTTTCCCTTGCCATGCAGAAACTCTTTTTTGATGTACTCCCATATATTGGTTCTTGGTATTATTTCCAGTGCTTTTGGAGTCCTACTCAGGAAGTCTTTGCCTGTCACTATGGCTTCAAATGTTTCCCCTATGTTTTCTTCTAGCAGTTTCAAAGTTTGAGGTCTCATATCTAAGTCTTTGGTTCATTTTGAATTGATTTTCAGGGTAAGAGGGATCTACTTTCAGTCCTCTACAAATGGATATCCAGTTTTGCCAGCACTGTTTGTTAAAGAGGCAGTCTTTTTTCCAATGTATGTTTTCAGCCCCTTTGTAAGAATCAGATATTTGTAGTTGTGTGGATTTGTTTCTATGTTCTCTATTCTACTTCGTTGGTTTTATGTATCTATTTTAGTGCTAGTACCATGCTGGTTTGGGAGTATGGCTTTGTAGTATAATTTGAAATTGGGTATTGTAATGTCTCCAAGGCTCTTGGTCTTTTTACTTAGGATTCATGTGGCTGTTCTGGGTCTTTTGTGTTTCCATATGAATTTTAGAATTGTTTTTTCAACCTCTGTGAAAAATGTCATAGGAATTTTGATAGGGATTGCATTGAATCTGTAGATTGCTTTTGGTAACGTGGCCATTTTAACAGTATTAGTTCTGCTGATCCATGAACAAGGCAATTTCTTTCTTCAGTGTTTGGTAATTTTCATTGTAGAGATCTTTTACCTCCTTGGTTAGGCTGATCCCTAGGTATTTCACTTTTTTGGAATGGAATTGTTTTCCTGATCTTTTTTCAGCTAGTTCATTATTGGTGTATTGAAAAGCTATTGATTTTTTTTAATGCTGTGTTTGCATCCTCAGTTATTTAATGTTGTTGAGCAACATGCTGATCAGACTGTTTGGTTTCATTATGTTAGTGCTGAATGATTTAAAGAAAATGGAAGGTAGTTTGAAAGACAAGGATTTCAGAACATGAGGATAAATTTAATAAAAATGGTAACTAGTTGGTGAAATATTTGGGAAACAGTAATGTTGGTGATACAAATTTGGTTGTTTTAAGTGATTATCATTTGTTGACTTTGAATCTGTATTACTTTCTTTTGGCAGGGGATTTTAAGCCTTGAATATTGTGTGGGTATTATTGGTGGCAAACCTAAACAGTCCTATTACTTTGCTGGATTTCAAGGTTAGTGATCCATTGTTTTCTTTTCAAAGTCAGAAAGTTAATATGAGATCATCGGGAAGCAGGATGATTAACCAGGCCAAATGAGTACCTGATACATTCATCAGTCCCACCATGGCCACTCATTTGTCATTTGGTCCACAGCATAATTGGATTCTGTAAAAATGTATGCTTAATTTCTGTTATTGCACACACAAGGCATAATTTATTGGTTTTGCTAAACTTCAGAAGACATTGCTGCCACATTCTGGCAGTTGGTATTTACATATTTACTTTTTACCAGTTTTAGTGGTGCTGGTTGATGATAAAATGACAAGCAATATGTTCTCCCTGTCAGGATAAAGAAGTGCAGTACATTTTTCTTATGCAAACCGTAGAATATAATTGTGTGTTTGTGAAAGTAATTTTATCACCAAAAATTAAATGACAGTTTCATCACTTTATAAAAATTCTGCTTATACAAGCATATTTGATTATGCAAAAGTTAATCTATCCTGTGCAAACCTATGTTTCAGTCAATGAGTATCAGCCTGGCAAGCTGTTACTCCCTAGATTTTTTTTTCAACTGCTCTACATAGAAATTGGATTGTAAGCAGTGTAATAATAAGGTGTTTTTTGAATTACTTGTCTTCTGTTTTGTCCTTGCAGATGACAGTTTGATTTACATGGACCCTCATTACTGCCAGTCTTTTGTAGATGTCAGCATAAAGGATTTCCCTCTTGAGGTACTATGCATGGAAAGCTGTATTGTTTTCTTACCATGGGAGCAAATTAATTATTTAGAAATGTGTTAGGTAGCTATGCTTTTATAGTAGTACAATTCCAAGTTAATATTTTGCTGATTTACAAAACTGTAATCAACACTGTGGTCAAAGGTTAGTACTTTGTTGCTGAATGTTAATTTATGATATACTTTCTTCTTCATTTATCTTTGTCTCCAACTGGTTAGATGTCCTATCCCTACTAAAATAAATGATCAAACCTCCAAGTAATTTTGTAGAAAGACAGCTAAACAGTCCCAATGAATTCAAAGTGTTAGGTGTGTTTTTTCAAGACAAAGGAGAGATGAAAGAGAACATTATGGACTTGGAGCAACAAAATAAGCTTTAAATTCAATAATTAGGTCATGGCCTCTAGGTTAGAGGTTTCCAAGAGCTTAGTTGGGTTTCTGATATTTGTTTTAGCTTTCGTTTTTTAATCCTCTCCTTTCTCCTTTTATAGATCATTTTGTGATCCAGTACTTTAATTCACAAAAAATTGAGAGATCATAAATGAGACGTAATTATTCCATAGCTTTGGTTTTGGTTTTCCCAGTTGATTCTTTTACAGGCTAAAATAATTTTATAGAATAAAGTAATTTTAAGTCACTGGAATGGCATGGATCACAAGTTGGAAATACAGTTAGTTACATAATGTGTTTTAGTAATATTTTCTTGCTAATATTAATGCCTCATAGTATTTAAGGGGTAGCTTATGAACATAAACTGAAAGATTGAAATCTGATTTAGAGAGAAACATTGTAAAACATCCTAGCCTCCTTTGTAAATTATTGCCTCAACTTAATACAAGCATCTTGAGACCAAGGTCAGTGTTTTTCTGTTTCCTTCATAGCATCAGTGCATATAAACCTTAGAAATATTTGCTAGTTGGCCATTGAAACTGAAGGGAGGCACCACAGAATTGTGCTATGGGAACCTCACTGTAATTCTCTTTTTGTTACAGTGTGGTCTTGTGGCCCGGATTCTTAGGTCTAGGTTACATTTCAATGTATCTGGGCCAAATTGACTCCATATAAACAGCAGATACTTGAGATTCAGATAGAAAATGGTTCATAATATGTATCTCACTTTTACATAAAATAGGCAAATTAAAAGATGATTGATCTTGGTTATTTTGGGCAGTAGAGATCCATTGTATATCTTGAGAGGCTCTGCAGCTGTCAGATCAAGAAATATCTTGGTTATTTCTACACAATCAAGATTAGAGGGGTTGCAACTCATTACTGGAGCTTGTTGCAACCCTCCAGTCATGAGGGAATAACAGCTTGAAGTAGGGTGTGGTAGTAAAGACGGAAAGGAAGAACCAATTTAAAGGTTTTACTGTGGAAAGTTAAATTTGGTGAAATTGAGTAACTTAAAGGCACAGATCTTACTCCTTTTACATTAGAGGAGTAACATGGGGATGGGTCAGCTTTCTTGTTTCTGGGACACAATGTCTGACACCCACAACTTCAAAGAGGAGAGGTTTAATTTGGTTCAGAGGCGCAGTCCACGGTCCCCCAGCTCCATCATGAAACATCGTGGTGGAAGGGTGCGGTGGAACAAAGAGGCTTAGTTCCTAGCTGCCAGGAAGCAGAGCAGAGGAGCAGCAGAGAAAGGGGTGAGGGCACAGCCACAGACCCCAAGTCCGTACTTCTGTGACCCTCCTAGTCACCAGGGCAGGTCCCAAAGCCAGTCAAGTTGACACGCCACCCTTATTGTCCCAGAACACTGACAGGCAGTTTAGATGTCATATTCTTGCGATTGTGGAATTTCTATTAGGAGTTTTTTGTTTTCTTCAGTGCAGGGATTTATCTTAGATCATTTAGCTAATAGCATCATTTATGTTCCTAGAACATAAAAAATTACAGCAAGTTGTCTATTTTGTATAGGAATAAAATTATACTTTCTGTTTTTGTCATATCTTTAGTTTATAATGGTCCAAGCAGAGGTGTTTTAGCTACGCCGCATTACTAGCTGTCCTTGCTTTGCTGTCTTGGTTGTGAGTGTATACACTGTGAACATTTGGAGACTGACCTATTGAATTATATGCACATTCCAAAACCACCTGCGTACTTCAATTATGAAAATCAATTTTGTAGGCAAGATTTTTTGATGAGTACTTCTTTTTGGTCAATAGAGGGAGAAATTTAAATCTTAGATCTTCTATCTGTGTCTATTTAAATAGTTGCTTATGGTTCTGATAGTTTATATGAATGCCCTAAATCCAACAGAATTGTGAATTTTAAGTAGAATATCAGAATGTTTGAGATTGAAGAAGAGATTTAAATAGATTTTATCATTTGTTATTATTCCTTTAGTATTGAATTCCTACATGTGCAGAATTGAATTTTTAACATTTTGAAACCAAATCAGACCAGCTCTTCTCTTTATTTTAAAACTATCATTTGCTGAACTCTTTTTAGGCACAAAATTGGAAGAGAATGGAAAGAATGGGATAGGTCTTTGCAGTGAGGGCACGTTGAGGTGTACGTTTCCATCGTTGGTTAGGGAAGGGCAGGGTTTCAGCTGTTGGGATGGGAGAATTAGTGTGTGTGTGTGTGTGTGTGTGTGTGTGTGTGCGCGCGCGCGCGCACACATGCTATGTGTGTGTATATATATATGTATATACCCCCACACACACCACACACGCTTTATATGTCACATATAACTTTATATATATGTGTGTGTGTGTGCACATTCATAGAAAATGCATCGTATACAATTAATGGACTAGGTTTCCTAAGCCAGACTACTGGTTCCTATTGTTTATATGTACTTTCAGAATGACAGTTTCTAACTCTTACAGATACCAAATTCTGAAAGGTAAAAACCCTGTTAATAGACATGTTAGGCTGTTGTAAAAACCCTGTTAATAGACATGTTAGGCTGTTTGGATTGCTGTCCCCAGTTCCAAGTATCAGATTATAGGCCATTCATACAGTGGTGATAATTTAATCTGTCCTAGTAAGTTCAGAAATAGTGGCACTGAAGTCATTAGGTAGGTGGACAAGTGAATTTTTCAGTGCAAAAATACCCTTTATGAATCACACACTATGAATCACACTACTTATGGAAGTAGTTTTTAGTGAGGGTATTCTCTACCTCAGAGATCTTCATTTAAATCTCTTAAGATAGCACTTAAAAATGCTAAAATACACTCAAAAGTGTTTGTTTAGGTATTATTTATATGTTTAGGTAATAAAACCCACTGTTGTAAATAAATAATAAGCCCACAGTAGTGCCTGGTAGGTGCCTAGTTAACTATTTATTGGGGCAACAAGTAGTGTATTGAAAAATGAAATAAGTGGGAATTGACTTTCCCTATTTTATCAGAAACATATTTCATTGTCACAGACGTATATGTAGTGAACACTACCTAGAATATGTTTGTGAAGTAGAAACTGCTATTTCTACCAAATATTAGACTTCTGAAAATTAAAAAGAAATCAAGTGCGCAGCTCAAAGAATGATCACAAAGTGAATGTAGCTTTATAATACCACTTGGGAAAATACTTGAAAGTCTAATTTGCTTTGCAATAACAAGAAAGGATCTTGAATGATAAAATTAGTGTTGTTTAGACTTCAGAGTCATGAGTACACAAAGCATGACTTTAGGCGGAGTGACAGAGTGCTTCTCAGTTCTGGGATGTTCACAGTGACACCCCGCCACAACTTCAGTTTGCAGTGCTCAGTGACGGGTGTCTGTGCTCCTTTGAATAATTTGAGAAGTTCTTTGTAGATGTCAGAATAGTGATAAATAACAACTTCGTGCCTGTCATTATCTGTGATGACTAGGGCAATACACTGACACAGAAACAAGCCCATTCTAGTGTCCTTGGTTCCTACATGTGAACTTGAATCAGTGCTTTAGGTAATATAAGACACCTTTAGAGATGAGTTAAAAACATATTACTGGACCTTCTGCAAACTTTTTGATCCTCTTCTTTATCCCCACGTAGTAAAAATTAAAGAAGCATTCCTTGTTGCTGGCTTTGGGATAATTTGGGCAAATATGTGGAACAGTTTCTTAAAAATATAACTTGGGGCCGGGGATTTAGCTCAGTGGTTTCGCTGCCTGCTGCGCAAGTGCAAGGACCAGAGTTCCATCCCCGGTAACCCCCCCCAATATATATATAACTTAAAATTATGCATTTACTCCTGTATGTTAACTAATAAGTTTCCTTAGCTATTCTATGCCTCTCCAGATCTGTTTTTAATATCAAAACAGATGTTTTTATTTGCAAATAAAACAGGTGAAATAATAAATTAGGAAAAGTCGAATTAGGCAATACTTGTATTGACTAGTATCCTGCGGCTTCTAGTTTAGCTAGGTTGACTCTTGCTGCTTTAAAGTAACTATTAGTTAAGCATAGATGGCTCACTAGCAGGCAGTGGGGAGACTCGCCATAAACATAACAAATACGACAGCCTGTACTTTGTTTTTGCAGTACTCAGGGCCTTGGCACTGAGCTACATCCCCAGCGCCTTACTTTTCTTTTGTCCCGGGATTGAACTCGGGACCTTGCGTTTGCAAGGCAGGCGGTGGAACCACTGAGCTAAATCCCTGGCCCCTGCCTTTCATTTTTGAGAAGAGCCTCACCTAGCTGCCATGCTGGGTTCACAATCCTCCTGCCTCAGCCACCACACCCAGCTTCTGTTTCTGTGTTGTAATGTTTCAACTTAAAATCTTGTAGTCTTATGGTTTTGAATGTAGGGAACTACTAAGTTCATGAGTTCTAATTCACTGTAGGGTACTTCTTAATTGGATTTGTTCTTTAATTCAGAAACATGAAATAAGTTAAGAACGTTCCACACATGTCTGCCCAGTTCTCTCCCTCTCTCCTAAACTTGGTGATTTTTGCATATCCTTACAGTTTATGCAAATATATATAGTTTTGTGTCCTTCCAGTTTTACATGGACTTTTAAAAAATAACTTACAGAAAAATACTTGGTAATGTGAATGATATTTAAGGGTAGGATATCCAAACATTCAAGCTTTAAAAAAATCTTTTTAACATGCTACTAAAGCGTGGTGGTAAAGAACAGGAGGACTGGAATGATTAGCAACGTTGTAGTCATTTCCCTGCTAACAGCCAAAGCTGACCAGGCCAGACTGCACAGCACATTTATCTCTGGGCACTGTGACTGTTTGAGAGAAGTCAAGAGGACGAGTGGGAGAGAGGGCAGAGGCCTTAATGGGGTTGTTTTCTCCAGTTCCCCCTAAAAAGTAAAACATAATGGGACAGCAAGTTGGAAGAAGATACCATTCTGTACTAATCGTGTCAGTTGTTAAATGCTTAAGTTGGCTTCTTTGCATATCAGTACAGGACATTTATATGACTACTTGTGTCAAAGACTTTTATTTTATTTTTACTAGTACATGGTTGCAGTACATAATGTTTACATTGCTTGTATGGTTAAGAGTTTATAAGTGTTAAAAAGAAGGAAAAATCTCTTAACAGGCGGACTAACCACAGCGTCCTCGAAGCGGCTGAGCAGGCCTGGCCCCAGGGCCTGCCTGTGCCTGTCTCTTTCCTCGGCCCAGTCCTAGGGCTGCAGTCCACGCGGGACAGGCTCCCTTTTGCAGCAGAGCACTGGTGTCACAAAAGGTGGAGTCAGGAATTACATAGAATTCTGGTTCTTGTATCTTACAGCCTTGCTGCGTGGGAGGGTCCAAGTACCATTTGAAAATTGTGTTTATAGTTTTGAGAAAAAGCTAGAAAGCAAATTTTAGTAATATTCTTGTATATACTTAATTCCATCGAGTAAAGGTACATTAATCCTAAAGAACTTTAAAAATTACAGACATTCCACTGCCCTTCTCCCAAAAAGATGTCGTTTCGAAAAATGGATCCTAGCTGTACAATAGGATTTTACTGTCGAAATGTTCAGGACTTCCAACGAGCTTCTGAAGATATCACTAAGGTACCTTCATTTAAAGTATTATATTTGTAAATGACTTAATTTTTATTATAGATAGCATAAAGATTACAGAAATCTTTACATTACGGTCTTTTTGTAAAATTTCCTTTGTCATATTATTAGGAGCATTGTGAACCAGAAAGTAAAACTGTGGGTAGTCAGCATTTAAAACAAATGAAACCATTGACCAGTTGGAAGGATTGCTCACTCCACTAGGTGGCACTGTTGAAACAAGAATCCTTCAGACCGAGAGCCCAGCAAGCAATTAGCTTCTATTCCATTCGGAGAGGATTTTAAAGGGCAGTCCCTTCAGGGTAGAAAAAAATTAATGAAGTATTTGATCAAGCCAAATTGTGCATTATTTCTTGTTAGTCCAACTGCTTCTTTTATTTATTTATTTTTAAAGAACTGGTATTTTTGGATTTCTCAGAACTGCTTTATCAAATGAGGTGTGTTGTTACCTTCCAGTAAGTTTGTCTAATCTGATCTATTTTACTTACAGGATTTGTCAAATAGATTTATTTAACTTCTTCTCATTACCTTTAAACTTCTGCATGTTTGTGGTCACTTGGGTACTGCTAAAGCGTTTACAGAGCTTTACTGCCTGTCTAGGTTTAGTGATGGAGACAAAAGATTGCTTGCTTAACAAGTGAGTGTAACTGGACGGACCTCTCTGTTAGTAGCCACAGTTGTAGCTGACCCTGTACGGTAAGTAAAACCGCTGCTAGGATTGTTTCGGGGAATTCTGTGCTCAGATGTAAAGACTATGCAGCACTGTTTTACTTTCAGTTAATTTTCTTCATGAAAGTGGACATAATAGGTTGAAATCTTATTTTAACAATGTGAAAATAGAATGAAAAAGTTAAGTAGAAAGACTCTCATGTGATAGGTTTTGTTTTCTTGGCCTGGCATGTGACAGAAAAATGAATGAGGAGAGTTCGAGAAAATGAGATATGTGAGAACCTTTCCATATTCTTCATTTCTCACAGTTGTCTGCTATTTATTCTTCCTTTCAACTGGAAGGCCAAGTGAATAGTTCAAAATAGGTATTCTCATCGTTCCCCTCCCTTATTACTTGAAATTAGTGTATAGATTTGTATATTTAGTTTAGTAATTCTTTGTCTTTATAAAGTGTCATGTATATGCTAAAATATACAAATCCAGCTTACATTGTGACATGCATTGATGTCGAGGAACATCTTCCATTAAAAAGCCCCATTTCTATTTTCATTAATTTATTTTCTTTTTATAGTGTGTTTTTTAAAAAAATAGAGTGGTCTACTCCTGGAATAGACACAAACTCAATTATTATACCAAACTAAGAAACACAAAGTTACAAATGAGTTGTATATTGATGTTTTCTGCTGAAAAACATAGTGTTTGTGGATTTTACATTGGAAAGATAGAAATTATTGTTCTTAATGTGTCAGGGTAGTGTGCATTATTAAAGCAAAGAGAAACTGTGTTTAAATGTCTCTTGAAAGTACAGAGAATTTTGTAAGAATCAATTAATGTGGCTATCTAAAGGTAATACCTTTTAGTAGCAGTATCAAAAATTCTCTTTGTCAGTTAATGATTTGATCATTTACTTTGCTTGGGTAGTTGTAAGCTAAGCAGTTTTTTTCTTTTTCCCTAAAAACTATTTCAGTTAAACCATTGTTTTCTTCTCTTGAAAAATTAAAAGAACCGAAAAATTATTTGTCACTATGTAGCATGTATTCTCAATTTTCTTATTTTGAAAATGAAGCCAGGTAGTTTAGAGACTCATGTTCAATCTGTAATGCTCTATGCGTGTGATTTTTAAAATACTAATAAACATTGTTAAACGAGGTCAGTATTTAGCAGCGTTCAGTGCAGCAAGTATCCGAGTAACTACTGTATACAAAGCATATAACAACCAAGATGGAAACCCTGCTTTTAAACAAGATAGAACGCTTCTGCCCGCATGTAACATTTATGCTAGAGGAGGGAGCTAAGTCAAATAGACATACGTGACACTGAATATGATAAGCGTCTACGTGGAAATAGAAATCAATTGCTTGGGGAGGAAGGGTGTTGAAATGAGAGGGCTGTTCCATCCGAGCTAGGTTCTTCACTGTGGTGGTGATAGTTAAGGTGAGCCCTAAAGCGAAGGCTTAATTTCCATTGGCTTAGTGAGAAGGAGAGGCATGTTAAGCTGAGAAATAAGAGGAAAGCTGTAGGAGGAGAGTGAGGCGCTCATCAGTAAAATAACAGTCCAGTTGGCAGGCACTGTGGACAAAGACGGCAGGATTTTGGCCTCTTATCTCCTCAGAACCCCTACCGGTGGCTGGGGAGCCCCATTTTCAGCAAGCCACCCCGCAAGCTCGGTCACCACATTGGTGGTCACACCCCACAGTGTGACACTGGTGAGGTTTCTAGGTGGCACTAGGACAGATGTTGTAATGCTTATGTGTTTATATTCATATTAGAATGATGACTTACATATTAAACATGTGAGTTCCCATTTTTATTAATAGTATAAGGCTACTTAAGTTATAAATGGTAAAAAAGGAAAACACTCATTAATCAGAGCAGAGAGAGCATACAGAGCGAAAGCCATGAAGGTGATGTGAAAGGCCACGCTTAGGAGATACTTGCTGTGGGACGTGGGGAAGAACGAGGCGAGAATGTGTCGAAGTCCTGCCATGGAGAGGCGTGAATGCCAGACAGAAGAATGACTTAAACATGTACTAATTTTATTACATTCAGTCCAGGCATATAGGGCATAGAGAATAATGTGCTAAGTGCCCATGTCCTACTGGTGAGCTTTATTGAGCTGGTTCTCTCCTCACTCCTTTTTTCTTCCTCCCAGTGGTAACTTCTCCTGAATGAGCATCTTACACCCACCTTTCAAGCTCCACAGACAACACGTGGGCTTTGCATGTCGCTAAGCTTTGCTTCAGTGATGCCTTTACGTAATAAAGTGGGTATCTCTCTACAGTCTCAGTTTGACAGGGACTCTGGGGATGTGTCTGTGCTTGTTGGCTTATCATCTGAGTTGCTGAAGAGTAGTCAGTTCTACAACATACGACTTTTTATTTAAACTTTGTTTTGTTGATGGTCACTCGTTTGAGAACCTAAAAAGGGTGTATTTCACTTTCAATTACATAGAATGTTTTCAAGAATATTCTCGTGCATATCTCTTATACACATCTAATACTTGGACTAGTATTCCAGGTCCTATGGAGCAGTGAGCTCTTGGGGAGCACGAATGCGCTGGGGTTTGCTAGGTCCTGTCAGAGACTCTCCAGTGTGATCAGAAAAGCAGTCTAAGAATTTCTAGTGCTTCACATCCTTACCAACACTTAATATTGCCAGACTTTAAAAATGTTAACCAATCTTATGGATATAAAGTAATAGCTATTTGTATTTTTAATTTATATTTCCCTGATTGATAATGAGGTTGAGAATCTTATCAAGGTTTATCACTCCATTTGGTTCCTCCTTTGTGGATCTCCTGTACATTTTCTTTCTCTCTTCGATGGGGCCATTTAACTTGGAGGAAATCTTTATGATTTTGGATCCTACTATTTTGTTGGTTATATGTGTTGCAAATATATTTAGCTAGGCTACTATTCTTGCTAATTGAAATGAAATCTTTTCCTTTATGGTTTTTGAATTTGATATCAAAGAAATCTTTAATAATCAAAGATCATAAACATGTTCTCCTTCCAGAAGTTTTATGTTTCACATTTAGGACTTGTATACGTTTTAATTTAACTAGTAGCTTTTTTCCTCCTTGCATAGAAAAATAGCTGCTTCAGCATCATTTATCAGAAAGTCTGACCTTCCTTCTTGCTTTATAATGTCTTCTTCTCGAACCTGGATGAAAACTGAAGCTGTGGGATTGGAGCAGAAGGTTGCAGAGGTGAAATCAGTGTATAAGCCGGCCGCTTGGCCTTGTGGTTGAGGGCCAGTTCCTAAACAAGGCTGTGTTCCATCTAGGTACTGGAGAAAAAGGAATAGTTCACTAATGTGCTTATTCACTAAGGCAACAAGATTTTGAGTAGTTTCTACCAGAGCTTCTTTTCAAGGTCATTAATGAGCTGCACATTGCTGAGTCTTTGGCCAAATCCTTGTTTTTACCTCATTTGTTGTAACAGAAGCATTCAGCACAGCTGACACCCCGCTTCCAGCACCTGCCCTGTGGTTCTCCCCACTGTTCACTAGGTGCTCTTCTGAGTCCCTGCGACCTGCTCTTCCTGGCCTCTTCCTGTTGGAGCGCCCCAAGGCTCAGTCTTCAGTTCCCACGTCTTCTTCATCTTCGTGGTCTAAAGCCAAGATCTTCTCCTCAGCCCGATCTCTTCTCCAGTTTTAGATTATCTGTGACCAGCAGCATCCCTTGCGTGTCTGATGTGCGTACCCAAAAATCACATTCCTGATTTTCCTTCTTAAGCCTGTTCTGTTTTCCTTATCTCGTGTGATGGGGAATTTATCCTTCTGTCTGTTCAGACCCAAAGCTCACCTTCTACTTGTCATGTCCCTCATGTGTTCACCCATTACAGATTCAGATATTTGTAGAGTCAGACCACCTTTTTGCGCCCCACTGCTGCTGTCTTGGCTCAGGCACCACCCTTACCGCACTGCTCCTAATTAGTTTCCAGGCCTCCCCTCTCCCCCTAATCTTGTTGCAGTTCAGCCCCAGGTGATCCTTTTAAAACATAAATCAAAACATATTCCAAAGCATCTACAACTGCATTCAGCCCAGAGTAAGTATTCCCTTTATTTACCGAATGACTCTCTCAAGCTGGTGTGCAGTGGTGAACAAAATAGTTATGACTCCTTGCTCCATGAACTGACCGTGTAGTGGACGAGGTGGATATTAAACACAGAAGTACAGAGCAAAAACAGGAAGTTCCATGAAGAAAAAAGCAGTGCTGAAAGAAAGAAAAAGAGACATCATTTAATTTGGGCGTACAAAAACATTTAATAGCGTATACTCATGATTTTCCTTAAGGATCTTAACTGGTTGGTGAAATGTG